CTTCAGGGGTTATCTGTGGCCTTAATACTTAGATGGGTGTGTATTTTGGTATTTTTTATGCTTTCTGAATGCTTCCAGGTAGATGTGATCAGGAAGTGGGCTTCCCTTTTCATTCTTCTTCCTGAGAAGTTTCAAGATACCACTGCTGGTTGTTTTGAGGTAACTTAGGATTTAATTTTTTGCCTATTTACTTTTTTGCCTGCTTGTCCTGCTCCACAATCCCTGTTCAGGCCTTTTTTCTAGTTGGAAACTGTTCAGGGCTGGCTGTGGCCTTTTTAGTTTTAATTGAAAACTGTCTCTTTAAGTTTCGAGGAGATCTGTGCGCATGCGTAGTAGAACCCTCTGAGGATGGCGCTGGGGTGCCCATTAGCTCAGGCACCCCTATAGTCACCAGAATGGAGATGCGCAGACAGCAAGGGACCAATAGACAGATACCAAAAGAAAAGAATGTCCACACCTTTATCTCAGCGGTTCTGCCAGGCATCTGTGGCCGCTCTGATCCTTTCCCCATGTGGTCTTACCCAAGATGGCGGCTCCTGGAGCAGCCGAGCGTCCTGGACTAGAAAGCAATAGATTTCTTGCTTCTGCCACAAATTCCCCCAGCTGTGAGCCTTCCAACCTTCTAAGTATTCCTTTATATGTGGTTCAGAGTTCTGGGACCATCCCCTGAACCTGCTTGGTCAGGTATTCTGTATTGTTGTTGGCGGAGCTCTCTGCTATACGTCCACCCGATCCACCATCTTGTTTGTTCCCTCAGGCCACCTTCTCTTTCCAAAACTTCTCACACACTTAAAGATGGTAGCACTACATCTGGCCAGTTATTCACCAGTCAGTCTCCCTCTCTTGCTATCCCCGCTCAGCTTCTTCTCCCAGCAAGGACTCAATCCACTTCTCTAACCTTTCCTCTGAAGTTCAGAGTTCCAAGATTTTCATCTGTGTCTGTTTCTTTAGGTCTTTCATATCTTTGTTATAAAGGGTTAATGTAATGCTTTTGCCGAGTCAAACATTTTGCCAGAAGTCCTCACCTTGTGTTTTCTTTTGATGCTTCCTGTGCCATTCAGTGTTTTGCCCATTTAATATTGCAACTTAAGATTTGCATTTTTTCTTGTCAAGCGTGTTCTTATCTTTTGGTGTTCTGCCTCCAGGTCTTTGTACATTTCATTATAAACTTTACTTTGTCTTTCTGAGCTACCCTTCAAGAACTTTTGTTCTGTTTTTTCTTTATCATTTCTTCTATTCATTTTGTTGTTGTTGTTAGGTGCCTT